TTTATATTGCGATGGTCTGTAGTTCTAGTGTTGACACGTTCACTGCCTCATGCATCATGTGTGATGTTCTTTCTCTGCCACGTACCTTGCATGGTGATGCATGATGTTGACACGCGAACCAACTGGTATTCATATTATCAACTAATGTTATTATCAATATTATTCGTAAAATAACAATTACAAAATGTCAGAAATTACGTAGTAAATTATAAAACACAATACACACGTCTATTGTTTGACAGTGTATTAACATGCAATTAACGAATCGTGATTTCTGTTCAATTGCGAACAAAAGCCTTTGAAACCGATTTCTCTGAGATGGCACATCGAACGCTGTCAATTCTAATTGAACCTTAGAAAAATGGTCGCTACGAAACGAGGGACGCGGATGGAAAACGAATGGTTGGATGAAAAACCTCGGTATTTTTACCGAGCTCTCCAAACATTCGACCGGGTTCCGCATATTTTGCGATGTAACGCCGTGACACGCGTTAATTTAATAATAACAGAACAGTGAACCGTGCGAACGAAAGTTCGTCGAATTTCGAAAACGCGCGACAGAGAGAGATGCGCCCGGCCCGCGAATCGATTTTGAGATTTTCGATAAAATGTCGAGCCTCGTGGATAACGCGGTCTGCCAGTGGCGTTCATTCTCGTTCAGGGGAGCAAACTTATAATGAAATTTTGGCTTCGATAGCCGGATACAATGGATTGGCCTGCTTCGTAAACTCGTCGTCGACGGGCGCTGGATTTCCATGCGATTCGAATCGATATGATATCAAAGAGATGCTTCCCATCTTCTCTCTCCTCTCCTCTCCTCTCCTTGCACGGTATATATCGTTTCAGCCGCGAAGGAATCGTTTCGATTCTAAACAGCCCAAGAGTGTGGTGCTCGACTGTGCCTCGACTTTGCCTATTCAAGGAATCTCCGTGTAAATTTGAACGACGTTAATAACTAGACCATCTTTCACCGCGTGTAGAGAGAAATTTGTGCACAGCTGCCAGTGGTACCATTGAATCGGGACCATTCACGGGGATCCCTTCGTTTCAAACATCTTAGGAGTCTTTGGTAAACTTGAAAATAAGTTTTATTGGGTATCAAAGTCCGCACCAATTGTGCAAATTTAAATGTGTTTAAATGCACATCGCGCGCATCGATTGTTTGAGTCTCTATCCTTTGCTCCGTGTAAAACTTTCCTACGGATTTCTCATTTCTTTAATTTTTCCTTTCTGCAATTAAATGGCACAGTGGATGGCACATTTTTCAAGCAGGATTCGAACGGACGGATTCTTCGAAATTAATTGGCTTCTGCTTTTAATACATGAACATACTCACTGCCAGTAGTGATAAATAATGAAATATCGTGTATAGCGATACATCGTTAATGGCATGTATGTGTATAATAATTTGTTAGTGAAATTTAGTTAATATTAATCAAGTTATCTTCGTAACACAATTCCTTTGACAACATGTTTGCGTGGTCCTAATTATTCGCATACTCTCTTATATATTATACAGTAGAAATAACCAAGTGTATAAAATAAATGATTATATTGCAACGTCAACTAATTACATGGCAAATTATCAAACGTTTGAGAAACCAAACACCAAATCCGAAACACTTAACGAACGAAAATATACGTGTCGCCGATACATTGATACAAGCAAAAGTGCGATCGTTCGAATAATTCGTTTCTGCTTGCGCCGTTCTTCGTTCAACAGAGAAACAAAATTGCAATCGCAATGTCCGTGGCTGGTGAAGGTACATAAAAATTTCGCAGGTAGTTTTTTTTTTTTTTTGGATCGATGAAGCTGCCGCACTTCTCCACGCGCAGAGATCGAAAAGAACGAAAAGATCGCGTGGCGCTTTTGTCCCTTTTTTTCTTCTCTTTCGCACTCTCACAGGATAAAGCGAGCAGCCATTGTTCGTTGTCATTTCCCAGCTGATCCCGTTTCTGCGGTGATAGCAGAGGCTCGCCGCCGACGGTGGTAGTCGACGTTGGCCTAAAGCCAACGCATTAAACAGCTAAGGCGTTACGTACCACGCGGTTAAAATCGATCACCATTTGGATCTATTTATGTAACTGTGGTCAACGTGTACAGCGTGGATCTTGCCAGTGAATCGTTACAACGATAACAATAATTTCGCCCGATTTAACCGAAGCAGGCAGTCGAAAATGAAAGAGGCAAAGTTTGACGCTAGAAATTTTTTCTACAGTGCCTGGAAGTCTTGGCGATTTTAATTGAAGGAAGAGAAACAAGAACTCTGTAAGCGAAGAGATGATATACATTAAATATGAATAATATAAATTAAATAGGTGTAATTGATAGAGGAGAGAGAAACGAAAGCTCTGTGAGCGGAGAAGTAATATTAAATTAAACAGATATAATTAAAGTTAAATCCTGGAATCTCTTGGCTCCTAGATCTAATGAAAAGTCCTAACTAAGTCCTAGATTTAGTAAAAAAAATTGATATGTGAGATATCTTGTAACTTTTACATGTACGTAAGTAATAATTAAAAGTTAATGTACAGCTTGAGAATACGTTGGTCTAATATTTCACGTAAGCTATTCATTACATGTCAATATCTGGAAACTTGGAAATGGAGGGTTTAATTGATTCGGAGTGTTCTGTAGCAATCAATCTTTGCGATATATTTTCTTGGGTCTCGATCTTATTAAAAGATGACGACTCTGGCAATTGAGCTTACAGTTAAATTCAATTTCGAGTTTGAGATCTTCTTTGCTTCTAGTCCTGTATTTTTGATTTTAAACGTGTCCCTGTATATATTTAAAATGAAACGAATGTTGTGCACCACTTGGTAATTCATTTTTGCAACATGCATATCCACTCCTGAGCCAATTTGAAACAGAGTACGTTATAAAGTATAATAATTAATGTATTAATAAAAATAAAGACAAACAAAGTAAAATCATTAAATTAATACCTGTGTTCCAGTTCATGCATAACAAATAATAGTAATAATGGTAATATAACAGTAATTCAAGACATAAATCTCACAGTAAGCTCGGTGAAAACGATAATCTTAATTTCCACAAAAAAAAATCCGCCTCTTAGCACCGCTAAAATTATTGCTCTCGCTCTCTCGCGCGGCACAGTCTTCATTTTCGAATGTCACGCGCCATATTTCCCTTAAAGCGGACATACACGTGCAGAGGAGAGGAATGCCGGATCGAGCAGCGCGCGGCGCTATCAATTAAATACACAGGCCGCTGCATAGAAACGAAGTTTAACTTTCACAGGGGGCGAGGGAGGGAGGGAGGGAGAGGGGGGGCAGGGGTTTAATTAATCCGGCGGAGCTGGAAACGCCTTGGAACGAGTTCACTGGGCCAATGGTTAATATATGCCGATCCACAAGGAATCGGTAATTCCCTGCGTAGACCGACCGGCTCCGGTATGCTGTTTGCGGTATCCAAATGCAATATACCAGAGCGTATCTGTCGCGAACACGTGCTGCATCTCCCGCTATACCGTGTATATCTATCGGCCGACTACCTTTGGTAAATGCGGTCGCGAAGAGATCGAAGCTGTTGTTCGAAACGTAATTGCGAGGAACCTGACGTTCACGCGTCCATTATTGCTCAGTGGGTTCAATTGCAACGCTTCGCAAACCCTTCGTCGTTCGCTGGGATTGGTTCTTCGGTGCACGATCGTACGAAAAATACCCCCAGAATCTTGGTGTTCCACTCGTAACGTTTTCTTTCCCCCTCCCCCCTCACCCCTGAAATTTTTGCAAGTAATTAAAATAAAACTGTTTCGTCTTACGAAATATCAGTCGGTGCCATTTAATTTCGTCATAATAGATTTTATTAAGTGTTTAAAGTGTACACGACCGTGACAAAATTGAAAAGAAAAATTAGTTTCTTGATCATAGGAAAATAAGTAAGCAGCAAGAACATTCGTTTCGTCCATATTTCATTTCACGTTCATAGAAACGTAAATGTCAGTCTTCACGTCTGCAAGTAAATAATGCTGATTTATTCGAGCGAGCTCGCTGTCTGTCTCATCGAAAGATGGGGCTTCTTTCACATTACATTACCACAATCAGTAGTCATTTCCTTCGCTTTGTTCGCTGCACTCTCTCCTTAATTTCGGACAAAATGTACTTGACGAAAGTCAAGCTTTCGCTGTATTTAATTAAGAAAGGAAAGGACTCTCGGACTTCAACCATGAGTCGCTCGTACGTACGTACATATGTGCGTGTGTGTACGTATATCCGGAAGACTGGTCCTTTTGTCGCTCGACTATATGCTTCTTTGCGCTCCTTTTTTAATATCCAGCCGGCTACACGTACCACGTTTGTTCCCGTTCGCGCTCTCAAGCTCGCGAGTAGCTTGCCTTCGAGCATCCTCGACGAAGGAAGGGCGGAGGGGGAGGGGGAGAGCTTCACTTTGACACACGGGATTTGTTACCCGGGCTGTGCTCCTGACGTTTCTCGGGCATCGTCGTAAAATATACGCGGGCACGTTCACACTATGCAAATGAGGTTGCTATACGCTATCGTGAAAATAAAAATAGAGGCCGGCGAAAGACACCGAGCCGAATAACGGCGCGTCAGGTGTATATAGATCGAGGCAAAAGAACACCTAGGTAGTGATCCGAGCCTATAGCGATCGTGGCACAACACAGGTGATGACTGTACGTGCGACAAATGGAAAAACAACCTCGTTCCATTCAGAGTTTCGTTTTTTGGGGGGGATGTTTCTCTAAGATTTTCTTCTGACAAATGACGAGTTTTGCACGTTTCATTTCCAAATCGTAATTAATTACAGTTACATAATATTGGTAATTTCAGTGCAGTTGAAAATAATTGGTACGATGTATGGATGCGATTAATTCTTATTATTGACAACAACTTTTCATGCAATTCATGCGTTCGTATTACGAAGGAAGTTCTCTGGAGAAATTTCAACACGCTCCGAACTTTAGTACGGCGGTGTAAACCTGAATTTGATTAATTCAGCGGTAGATAGGATAATGCCAGGACAAGTGGAAAACGTGAACGATAATAACAATGTAACACGTATAATTTATTGATAAAAAATTTTCTACAAATATGTTCGACTATTCTTACGAACACATTTTTTCATTTTCGAATTTATACAGTACGTGTTATTATCGTACGAGATTCATCGATGTGTCAACAATGCGTGCGTTGTTGTCATTTTCACAAAAATATTGCGACACTTTTTTTTGATTCACTGTACGCGTTTAATCGACAGAAAAAAAAAAAAAAAAACGAAATGATCTTGCTGTACCTTTGTTGCAGTGCAACGCCGCCGTTGGCGTGAAGGCGTTCTTCGATATGATGCACAGCGGGCCCCACAAGGTGATGCTATTCGGAGCAGCTTGCACACACGTCACAGATCCCATCGCTAAAGCATCGAAGCACTGGCGTCTCACGCAGGTGAGTTAGAAACACTGACTTGTCCCTGGGCCCTGATTCGCTGGGATCGTGCCGCGAATGTGCGAAGTCGAAGTTTTCTAAAACCGTGTCACGTCGCGCCTCTCGCGATAATTGAACAACACGAGGAGGAACGAACCCTTTGCGTCAGAGATGCAATGTTCCTTCTGTTTCGCTTGTTTACAAAGCGAAAGTGCCTTCGCGCGTGAATTTCGGTAAAATTGGTAGAATTGGGAGACAAATCTTTCGATGAGTTTGCTAGTAATTTATCCGTCGATGTCTTTTGTCAGTTTAACGACAAATTAGTTTTCGTCAATTAATGACAAAAATCAAATTAAGCCAATTGATAAATATATCAATATTTATTGATATATTTCAGTGAATCTAATTAGCTTTCCTAGTAATCTTGTAGTGAATTTTTTTTTTTTTTTTTTTATGAATCTTCCGATTATCTTGATGAATATTTCGACAGTTCTTTCTTTCGAATTAAATCGGAAAGCAATATTGTTACCGATACTTAGGATGTATAGAATCGTTTTACATAAGAAACATTTGTATAATTTTTACAATTGAAGCATATTCTTTTATTGACAAGCAGCTAAAATCATCGTGAATAACGAAAAATTCATTAGTTACTACAAACATGATACAAGCAGAAGATATACATATATCGAACATCTTTTCGATAACGAAATAATCTACTAAATCTAAACAAATCAATCTTTCGAACAACAACTGTCTCGACATCTTCACAAATAGATACGTAGTATCTATTTGACTGAGAGTAAGATTGTTAGAGCAGAAAGTTTAGATTACCAGAAACTTCCCAATATCAAGCCCTAAGATGTCCACTCTGTGCGACTCTGCAAGTTGGCGAACTTCACGAGAGAACGTAACTTACAACTCTCAACTTCTCTGAGAAATTCCAAGAGAATCCTTGTTTGCGACCGTCCCTCTGAAAACCTCGACCAAATCTTCTCCCCCGCCCTCCCCCCCCCCGACAACGAATCGAGAATTCGAGCGACTGCGGATCTCTCTCTCTCTCTCTCTCTCTCTCTTTCTTTCGTTTTGATCGGCGTACGAATTCTGTTGCAGCTGAGCTACGCAGACACGCACCCGATGTTCACGAACGACAGCTTTCCAAATTTCTTTAGGGTGGTGCCTTCGGAGAACGAGTTCAACGCGCCGCGCGTGGCGCTTCTGGTGCACTTCAATTGGACCCGGGTCGGTACCATTTATCAAAACGAGCCGAGATACGCTCTGGTGAGTAACCGAACAAAATCCAGACCGAGAGCATAATGGTTAGCAACACGCGTCACGTTACGCGAGAGTCGAGCTTTTATTGAATCCGCGCCACCGCGAAACCTCTCCAACGAACCGTTTCAAAAACTTGCCCGCTTTCTTTCCGCTTCGTGTTCGATACCACTATTCTTTTCTTTTTTTTTTTTTTTAACCGTCTCTTGCTCGTTCCACGCTTGATACAATCCGCCATCGCGTACAATCGCAATTTGCCTGCGTTATTCAATCTGAATCGTTAACGAATCTATGGATGAAGCTATGGATACTCGTGGATAAAAAAAAAAAAAGAGAAAGAAAGAAAGAATACGTCTAAACTGCTGTTCTGTGTTCTGAAAATGGAACAAGTTTCGCTTCGTTTGTTTCAACTTGATCATCGTGAAATACAGAGTGGATTCGATACTTCAGGAAATAAATTTACGTACGTGCAACACATAAGTAATACGTATAAAAAGTATGTAAATGAAAAATGTAATATAAATATATGAACATCGTGTACCATTTTACAAGTACGCGGACGCTTTTTCAGTTCTTTTGATTACCTGAAAAGAGATATAAGATTTCTTTGTGTAAAAGCTTGTATTAGAGAATATATTTATTCACTGACATTTTACGACCCCCTTTGAACTAAGCAATTTTTGTTAACCGAGTTCTTTTACAGTGCAGAGTATAATCAAAATTTTAAACTGACTTACTCGTGAGAAAACAATCGTCATATTATTTAAATTATTATTATTTATTCTTTTCCTTCAATAATTTTTATTTACAGAGTTAGATATACAAATTTATAATAATTATTTATTAAAACGTTTTTACTATTTAATGATATTATGTTTATTATTAATTTTAAGCCCTAATATATTAACAATTATATTGAGATGGTTTAGGATTAATTTCTTATTGTTTAATTATTTGTTATAATTAAATTCGTTTAATATGATTGTACATTTAAAATACGTGCCAATGTAGCATTGGATATACGGTATCGCGTATCACCGAGAAGGCATTTCATTCGTATTCACAGGCACACAATCGGCTGGTCGCCGATCTGGACCACAACAGGATGGAAGTGGTGGAGACGCAAAGCTTCGCCACGGAAGTGACATCGGCCCTCGAGAAGCTGAAGGAGAAAGACGTTCGAATAATCTTGGGAAATTTCAACGAAGCGTGGGCTCGACAAATATTCTGCGAAGCGTATAGGTATTATCCATGTAACTAGAAATTTGTTTATGAAATATCGTGCTCGTGTTTATGGAGAATACGTAATTTTTATGAATTTTTATGAATTAAAAGAGAGTAGGAAATTTTCCACAATGATTGCGGGAAAATATTCGCAACGCCATTATGCTCGTTACAGCATTTACATAATAGTTCATTGGGCTAATTGCTTAATCGTTTTAGAAAAATTGAGTTAATTATTTTGCTAATTTACTGCACGAGAATTGGGTTTATTTATTAATTTAAAGAAAAATTTTATTTATTCGGCGTGGCACAGGTTGCATGCTCCGCAATCCGTGATCCTACGTGCAAGAATGCATCGAAAAATGTGGAATGAGATTTGTTCGTGAGATGCAACGAAAAAAAAATGTAAAAATTCAACGAAACATATGTATTCAAAATCTATTTTATTCGCCATTTTATAGAATATCCTCGTGTCTTATTATTCATTTCGGAATTAGTTAAATTCAAGCAAATTATTATATTCGTCCATTAAGGGATCGTTTATTGATTCGTGAATCTTTTCAATCAATTTACACCATCAAATTTTGTTTCTTAACATCGTAAGTATGAAAGGAAATTTCAATGATTTTATTTATTTTTCATTATTAAAAACTCTGGGTGTTCGATTTGGTATCACAAAGGCTGGCAAAAGTTGGCAACAAAATTCCACTAAATTGAAAATTCAAAAATTACGACAGCTCAAATAGCTGTGAACCAATTAAGAGTTCAATGAAAAAAGTATCAGGCGCTCTTTCTTCCGATTTATTTTTCACCGAATTGAACTGTAAAAATTGAACACTCTACAGATTATTGTAACGTACACGTTTTCATGTTAAATATTATATATATACATATAAAAATATTGAATATCTTTACGTATTCCTTGCCCCTGAATCAAAAAAAAAAAAAAAAAA